GTCTGGCTAGCCAGCCACAGGCAGGGGGGTCCTCCAGCTCAGCCTTCCACAGTCAGGAGACTTCTGCAGCCAGCTGGCATCCCACCGCGCCACACAATGCCCATGGCAGGAGATTGCTCTGGCTGGCCAGGATTCAGCTCTCGCCGTGCGGTGGGTACGGCACTGCTTCGGTTGGCCGAGGCTTGCTAGCAGGGCCACAGCCCTCCCACCTGCAACTGGTCCTCCAGTTAACCAGTTACCATGTAAGCATGATGGTAAGGTCAATGCTTATGAGATAACTGGTTAACCTTTTACATCCCTAGCTTCGAGGAGAGTCAGTTAATGACCATATTACAGAAAGCTACTTGGTTACATTTTGTTGTTTGATCGCACAATCAGAATGATCCTGGTGCACTGCAATGCTGTTTACTACAGGGCACTCCGACCATTTTGATCTCTTGGGGTATGTCTACAGTACAAAGTTAATTCGAACTAACAGCCGTTAGTTCATAGGCGCTACACATACAAACCGCTTAATTCGAACTAGGTAAACCTCATTCTACGAGGACTAACGCCTAGTTCGAATTAAGTAGTTCAAATAAAGGGCTGTTTAGCCACTTAATTTGAACTAGTGGGAGCCTAGCCCTTCCCAGCTTGCCCTGGTGGCCACTCTGGGCCAAACGAGGGAAACTCTTCTGCACCCCCCCAACCCCGGAGCCCTTAAAGGGGCACGGTCTGGCTACAGTGCTTGTGCCAGGTGCAAGCCTGCCAGCACCCAGCCAGCAGACCCTGCACCTGGCATGGCACGAGCCAGCCACCCGCTGCCACCCAGCCCTCCGCCTCTTCCCAGGACCAGGCTGCAATGCTGGACCGCAAGAGGCTGGAGCCTGCCCGGGCCCGCAAGAGGCGGGCGTCCGCCTGGTCTAGTGCAGAGATCATGGACCTCATCCAGGTTTGGAGGGAGGCCTCCAACGTCCATGACCTCCATACTAGTCACAAGAAAGTGGCCGTCTAGGGCAGGATAGCTGCCAGCCTGGAATCCAGGAGCAGGTTTGCATGAAAATCAAGGTGGTCCAATAAGACCCCCGACCCTGAGCCCTAAGCTTAGAACATAAGGACATAAGAACGGCCATACTGGGTCAGACCAAAGGTCCATCTAGCCCAGTAGCCTGTATGCCGACAGCAGCCAACACCAGCTACCCCGGAAGGGATGGACCGAAAACAATGACCAAGCCATTTGTCTCATGCCATCCATCTCCAGCCTTCCACAAACAGAGGCCAGGGACACCGTTCTTACCCCCTGGCTAATAGCACTCCAT